GGAAGTGTTAGTAATGCTTCTAGACAATGCTCCCATGGTCTGGCAAATTCTCTGGTTTGACACTAGTCAATCCCAAAGAAGCTGGATTAGAGCTGTCGAATATTTACTTAGCATTACTCGATCCTCAATTCAATTCAATAGCACTGGAATGGGTTGCCTGGAGGGTGGTATCTAGAGGTTTTTAAGTCCCAGCTTGACAAAGCCCTGAATGGGATGATTTAGTTGGGGTTGGTCCTGTTTTATGCAGGTGGTTGGACTTGATGACCTCCTGAGATATCTTCCAGCCCTATGATTATATGAATTAATTTTTGTTTTTGGAAAATAAAATGAAAATGTACATGCTTCATTTAAATCATTGCTCTGAGGTGAGGCTGGTGATGAGGAGTTCAGGATACAGGCTGCCCTGGGTAAAGGAGATTACCCTAGCGTTCTCTCACCACAGCTGCTTGAGGATCAGTGAGAAGCACCTCACAAGGGCCGATACAGCTCCAGCAGCATTGCAAAGGGAGGGGTGCATGACCCCTGAGTGGGGCAGGTCCAGGTTCATCTGCCACCAGCACTCCCCAGCCAGAGTGAGGAATACAGCAAACTGTGCACTTTTCTCTTGCTCGCTGACAAATGGGAAAAGCTGGCACTGTTCGCATATGAATAGGGAAGGGAGTACTCTATTAGGGTATGTCTACACTAGCCCCCTATTTCGAACTAGGGAGGCTAATGTAGGCATTCGAAGTTGCAAATGAAGCCCGGGATTTAAATATCCTGGGCTTTATTTGCATCTTCCCGTCTGGGCACCATTTTTAAATCCCCCTAGTCCGAACTAAGTGCCTGCGGCTATACGCGGCAGTCAAACGTTAGCTTGAACTAAGTCCTTAGTTCGAGTTAACTGTTACATCATGAGAAGAGGAAGCTGCATACCAAATTTGGTGATCGCTCTTAGGTTATGTCTAGACTACATCCCTCTTTCAAAAGAGGGATGTAAATTAGGCAGATCGAAAGTACAAATGAAGCACGGATTTAAATATCCCACACTTCATTTGCATCCGATCACTGTTTCAAAAAAGGGTATTTTGAAAGTGAAATCGCAGTCTAGATATGATTCTTTCAAATTCTTTCTTTTTTGGAAGATCCCATTCTCCTAATTTTTTCGAAAGAAGAATGTAGTCTAGACAAACACTTACTGTTTAGAAGGAGCTCTTGAACAAGCATGCACACACACAGACAAACACACTCAAATATATATTATATTTTACAGCTATGATTCTACTTTATCAGTTATATATAAGGATTGGGTGGGGGGAATAAATTTAATCTTATTTTCATTCTTGAACATAAAAGTATTCAGGTTTTAAATATGAAGTGCATTCAATAGAAGAGGAACATCGCCTCATTTTTTAAAGTCTTGAAAAATAGACAACTGCTACTATTCAGAATGTTGGAATGATCACATGTACATTTCCAGTATCAACCTTCTGGAACTCTCAATAGAACAGACTAAGTAGCACCTTGCTGTATCTTTATGTGCAAAAGTGGCACGAATTGACTCAGAAATCTATTCAATTTAATCTTCCTAAAACTAATACCTTTTGGTCTCTAAGGTTACTGTGATAAGTATCCTTCATACATAGACATGTTTTATCATATCACAGAAGCGGTCTTAAGGGCTCCCATGTGCTCTGATGGCTATCTGTGTTATTGGCCCATTCCATTCATAACCACAGCTAGATTGGGGGGGGCGCTTCCCACCCCCCTCTAGGCAGCAGTTGATAAAATCTCAATAGCTTTACAGCATTTTTTTTCTCTGTAATGCGAATCTCTCAGAAGTCATGGGATGGTAAGTATGTGAAAATTATTCAGTTTTTATACAGAGTGTGTGCATTCTTTGTAAAGAGATTTCAGATACATTGCATGAGTGACTGTCCTGAAATTTTTCCCTGTGCTGTACATTAAAAACACAAGAAAACATTTAACTTAAATGAAGTGTCGAGAAGAGTAATCCATAAAGAGTAATGTGAGTCAGCTTGTTCTGTTTGTATCTAGCAGTACATTTTTTTAAAGTCCTTATCTAGCCCATAATTATCCTGGTCCCTAGAAACAGCTACATCATGGTATGTGACTGTCATAGCCCTCCTTATCCACATGGGTGAAGTCTGTGACTCCTCTCACCCATTGATCTCCAATTACTGGTGAATAGGCTGCCTGTTACTGTTAATACTTTACACACACAAAAAGAACATTAAGGATGAACAGTCAAATGTTAGGAAAAGCCAAAACTAAGTTAGTCTGTGCACACTTAATTTTTGGCCCTGGCATCGATGCATTATGATAAAGTATTTCATTACATGATCACATACTGTTCTTATCTTACAAATTGGGAAGCTCATGTACTTGTGTCAGGAGCATCAGAATATGGGGGCCAAAGGGCCATGTCCCTCCCACTTTTGAAAGTTGATGGTCCTGGCCCATCCACTTTTTGCTACAGGCCCCACCCTCATCCCTCTTCTTCCCACCAAAGACTTACTCCCTGGCCATACCAGAAACTGTACACTGAGTTGGGTAAGAGCAGCCTGGCAGCTCTGGGAATCCATAGACTCTTCATCTGCCCAGGATGGGCTGAAGGTCTGAGAGCAGATCCTGGCCCACGTTCCTTCCTTCAGTTCTCCCACCCAAAGCAGGTAGAAGATCCATAGCTGCCAAGATGGCTCATACCATGACACTAAGCTCTCACCGCCAAGCCAAAGGATGAAGCATGCCACGTGGGAAGCTGTGTGGAACAGCAGATCTTCCACATGCCCTAGTTGTGGGACCCAGAAGAGGGACATGGTCCAGAAAACACTTTCAGGCTCCCCACCCTGGGCATGTGGAGAGACCCTGGCTCCCAAGACTGATTCCAGTTTGCTTGGGAGACCGGACCACAGAGGGGGTGAGGCTTCGTGGCAGTGCATTTTTAGTGAGAATACTTCACCCTTGACCTGTGCTACTCCCTCCCATGATGCTCTGTAGCTCCCTTCAGTGCAACGGGTGTAACCACACTACATACACAATTAATCCAGTTGGCACTTATTGTCATAACAAGAGGTGAAAGCTATAGAAACTGAACTATACTCTCACCCCTCAGAGTTGTCCTCCCATAAGACTGATGTACACCAGCAAGGAACAATGGGGACGGTTGTACTGCTGCTGAATGGGCCATAGCAAAATAGTATGTGACCCTGTACTTAAAGACTGTATCATAATACATATGCAAAGGGAAGGTGAATTAATGCTCCCACACCCAATCGCTCTATCCCCATAACCCTACTCTTCCACTTCCCCCTACTTCCCCCCAATGTATACATCTTAATTTAAACTTTCTATGTACTTGAGTACATCAGTACTAGTATAAATATAAATAAATCATTTATATGTATAAAAACATGATCTTCATTCATTGAGTACATCTGATTACCATTTAGCACAGTTCCGCATAGTTATAAGCCAGCTCTCATCAAGACAACAGACATAAATAATCAGTTTACATAAGGAAACTGTGCTTGTTTCCCATTTCAGGGGCAGCTTCTTCAGTAAATTAAAATAAAAAAGTAGGGTAGAAGAGAATCAAAAAGGTGAGTACAAGAGTAATATCTGAAACAGGCAGAGGGCCCTAGGCTGTCTCACAGTAGTTTTATAGCGGCGTAACTGGAATAAAAACAGGCCCAAAAAGTCTGGTCCAATTTCAGTGTGTTTGTATAAAAGTGTATACAAAATATGTTATTGCCAACTTTTTTTATTTTAATGTAAATCTCACAATACTTTCATAGAATCATAGAATCATAGAATAATAGGACTGGAAGGGACCTCGAGAGGTCATCGAGTCCAGCCCCCCGCCCTCAAGGCAGGATCAAGCTCCGTCTACACCATCCCTGACAGATGTCTATCTAACCTGTTCTTAAATATCTCCAGAGAGGGAGATTCCACCACCTCCCTTGGCAATTTATTCCAATATTTGACCACCCTGACAGTTAGGAATTTTTTCCTAATGTCCAATCTAAACCTCCCCTGCTGCACTTTAAGCCCATTACTCCTTGTCCTGTCCTCAGAAACCAAGAGGAACAAATTTTCTCCTTCCTCCTTGTGACACCCTTTTAGATATTTGAAAACCGCTATCATGTCCCCCCTTAATCTTCTTTTTTCCAAACTAAACAAGCCCAGTTCATGAAGCCTGGCTTCATAGGTCATGTTCTCTAAACCTTTAATCATTCTTGTCGCTCTTCTCTGTACCCTTTCCAATTTCTCCACATCTTTCTTGAAATGTGGCGCCCAGAACTGGACACAGTACTCCAGCTGAGGCCTAACTAGTGCAGAGTAGAGCGGCTTTAAAAAGACTTTAAAAGACTTTAGTCTTTTGCTTACAGCTTCAGCTCCTAAAGACAATAAAGTGAGACTCTCAGCTTTAATTTGGTAAAGAAGTTTCTATTCCTCATGATGGTGGACAAAAAAATTGAAAATCTGTCCAAGTGGTCCTAAAGGCTCAGAAACCAGAAGCCCTATAAGGATTAGCAACACTGGAAATGCCTAATATATGCACAAATGACAGGCTTTCACATGTGCGAAAATATGTTGGCACAGTCCGCAGCATATTAGAAGCAGTTTGCATATGCACTTTACATTTCAGACCTATAATATTGATGCATTGTCTCAGAAAACTAAATAAAAGTGCTAGAGAAAATCCTCATAGTAATCTTAGAGGCACTCTGATGTTCTGATGAACAGCAGTACAAAGCCATGGAACAGATAGATGATTTCATTAATCTAACAATTCAGTATTAGAATGACATTTAGCAGACCTGGATGATATTTGCACTCATGCCCCAGTGGTGTGATTTTGATGTAACCAAAGATCCCTATAAATTGCTATCTCCCAACAGCTTCAACTTCCTTTGTTGCTGGAATAAAACCCTTGGTTTAACATGTCTAGAATTTCTGCCTGTAATCCCATATCACTATCCCTTTTACCATTCCAGACCACCGTTTTACAGCTGAAGAGGAGCTGTGGGTCCCTCCAAAACATGAGACTGTCATTAGAGGGGATTATTTGAGAAACCTCAGCAATGCTTCCAGATTCTTCAGCCTAGGGAGCAATATTGCATTGCAACTGGTAAGTAAATTATCTTCCCCAAATAGTGGTGAGTTTTACTGAAACTAGAATGCTGAATCTGTTGTATCCTTATCTAGAAATGAATAATGATGGCCTAATTCTGATCAGGTAAATGTACACATATGTATCTCCATTGGATCAGATTTTCTGATCTACTGATGCCATTTTCCCCTTTGAATTATGTACAAATTGACCTAAAAATGGCTGGAGATTGCTGGTGGGGAATGCTGTTTGTGTAGGGCAACTCCCAGTCAGAACAAAGCAACAGAGGCAGCTCTGCCACCCTGCCACCCTGTTACCAGTAGCATAAGGAGAGAACGGCACACTCCAGGGAAAGGTTGTAGCACAGCTCCATTATTCCTTATCTGTCACCAGTGTAAGGTTCATTATAGACCTTATGCCACTAATATAAGATATTGAAGGCTCCTTGTTGATCCAGCTTATGCTATGCTTGGACAATCAAGGATCTGGGAGCTGAAGCTAGTTTTCTGGGGGAAGCTCTCTCTACTACATCCAAGCACAGCTAGAGGACCCCATTGACTTCAGTGGATTTTCTTCTTGAAGATCAAAAGGTATCTTGATGTTAGTGTACAAGTGTATTCAAGGGAGAAAATACTGGCTACTGAAGGCTTCTTAATCTAGCAGACAAAGGCATCACAAGGAGCAGTGGTTGGAAGTTGGAAGTAGACAAAGTCAAATTACAAACAAGAAACAAATTTTAACTGTTAGGATGATTAACTGTTGAAACAAACTAACAAGAAAAGTAGATTTTCTTTCCTTTGACAATTTCAGGTCAAGACTTTCTGGAAGCTTTATAATTTGATAAATCATGTTATTCAGATGAAAACAGGGGTAAAAAACAAATAGATGACATATTTTACAAAGGAGGTCACACTAAATGTTCTAATAGTCCCATCTGGCTTTACACTATATAAATCTATGATTTATAGTTGTCAAGACCACAACCTGGATAAAAGAAGTCAGGTTGGAGCCATAGAAGTAGCCAGGCCAGGAGGTTAAAGCTAATGTAACTCCTTTTTGCTCAGTGGCACTCTGTCCCCTCTAGCAGTGGGCAGGCCTTCTAGAGCTTGATGCACTTGCTACATCATGGGCTAACATGGCTCTTTTATCTCATGCAGTAGAAACTCATGCATTAAGTTGCAGCATTTGATCACTGCTGCAAAATCCCCATACAGGTAACTACTTTGTATGATGACTCCTCTCCCTCCCCAACAGGAATATCAGTGGTAGGGAATCAAACTTAGGACCTCTGGAGCTAAATGCATGAATTTCTAGATAGATCTGTTAACTAGGGCTTAGCACTAGCCTCATTCTCTATCTGGCCATGCCATCACTAGAGTGCCACTCTGAACAAGCAAGAGGTTACAGTAAGCTTGACAGTTTTCGTTGGATGCATTCCTAGAGGTTTCCTCACATGACAATCTTTAATTAAAAATTAATATTTTATTTATCAACACTCTAGGACAGTCCTGAAAGAATGGCAATCCTAGTTAAAACAGAGGTGACTTGGGTCAAGATTCAGAACTATGGAATGCCCAGCCAAAGCCAATGGGTGACCAAGAGACATTGTTAAGAAGTGTAATGGAGTCACAGCCATGGGCATCAAAAATTGAAATGAGCAATTTCAGGATCTGAAGGAGGCACAAGAGGAAACAGGACCAAACACAGCTGCAGGCACAAACACAACAAACAACTATCAAGATTTGGCTGCTGCTGGATCAAGTAGTAGCTAGCTCTACCCATTCACCAATCAGGGCATGCAATCAATCAGTCAGGCCTAGCCAAGCTCAACTGTGTCCAGGGTGTTGCTAGGAGACTGGCCTTGCTGCAGCTGGTTCCCCAACAACAGTAATGTTACTGAGAGTGGTATCAGGCCCAAGATATTATAGATATCATTTATTGTTTTCAGAGAGGAGGAGACTGTTGCTGTTTTGGAATCTGGAAAATATCAACTGTGCGTTTAGTTCTCTAGGGAGACATTGCTCTATTGATTTAAGCCTTCTTATGGGGCAGATTCTGTTCACCTTACTTATACAAGTGATCCCATTAAGTGGGACAATTTGTGTGAAAAATATGAAGAGGATGTGGACCTGTGTCATTACCCCCAATCGCCCAGACAGGTTGAGGACACATTCATTCTTATCCCTGTTCATTACATTACCTCTTGCTGCACCAGCGGCCACGTCACATAACATTAACACGAAGGGAAAAAAAGGGAAAAATGTGCAATATACATTTTAAGCTTTTTTTTCAAAAGCTCTTTTTATGCACAGTGGGCACACATTTCATTTCCCAACAGCACAACAAGCTGCTATTACTTCAACAGCCAAGCTATTGCTGCTTCAACAACAATTTTTCACACTTTACTTTTTTTTTAGTGTCCTTGTGCGTGTTATATTTCAGTGAAGGCTCATCTCCCCAGTCCATTACCATATGTTACTAGTCTGCAACTAAGCTCATTCCCAGCCATTAAAAAAATGAGAGAAAATGAACAGTCACAAAAGAGAATGTTAGCAACCGATATGAGTGCCACAGTGGCAAGTGGAGAAGGTGGGAGATGAGGGCTTCTGACCCTATCTGGCCCTAGCTCAGCTCACTTGCAGAAGATGTCAAGAATGAGAAAGAGTTAAAGAGAAGGCCAAGCTTAGTGTGGGCCTAATGAAGAAGGAGAGTAGAATCGTGCTCTTCTCTCATTGAGGGAAGCTTAGGTTCAGCCTTCCATGGGATGGACTGAACATACCTAGAGACACTGGCTAGAAGGACTGGCTGTATGATAAAAACTGCATTGAAGGACAGGGTTCTACCAAAGATTTCTTGAATGAATGTTTGTCACATTCCTTTATATTTGAACTTTAGTACCCTGAAAGACGAGAGACTCAACTGACCATTGGAGTTTCTGCAACAAGGTCACCTAGGGCTCTGTTGGCCACAAAGGGGAAGGCCCTGTTGTGCGTTACACACATCTGTAGTTCATCAACCAAACTTGGCAGATATTAATATCAGAGGAGGTTATTTGCCAGATCTGCTGTTAATATTTGCCGATATCATTCTGTGATGTTCATTAGTAGCAGACATTTAAAAAAATGATAGTGATAATCAATAGCCTGAGCAAAATGTTGGCCAAGGGTATGTCTACACTATAGCTGTTTTTTCCAAAAAACTTCAATTACGTCCACACTGCAATCATGTTCTTTTGAAAGGAAATTGAAAGAACAGAGGGGTTTTTCCAACATGGGTAAACCTCTTTCTATGAGAAAGAAACCTTTTTTCGAAAAGAGTTCTTTCGCAAGAATAGGAAAGAGGAAAAAGCACAGGTGCCCTGGGCTACATCTAGACTGCATCCCTCTGTCAACAGAGGGATGCAAATCAAGCACTTCGAAATTGCTAATGAAGCAGGGATTTAAATATCCTGTGCTTCATTAGCATAAACATGGCCACCGCTTTTTTCCGAAATTGAGCTGTTTTGAAAAAAAACTGTCGCCTAGACATGGATCTGTGGACCATAAATCTCAAAAAATGAGGTTTACAGGATCTGTCAAAAAAGGGTTTATGGTCCACAGATCCATGTCTAGATTGCCTTTTTTTTTCTTCTAAAAAGCTCAGTTTCAAAAAAAAGCAGTGGCCATGTTTATGCTAATGAAGTACGGGATATTTAAATGCCTGCTTCATTAGCAATTTCAACATACCTAATCTATATCTCTCTGTCGACAGAGAGGTTTAGTCTAGACAGAGCCCTGGTGACCATTCCACCCATAGTAATCACATGCGAGATAGTGTCCATTCAGTGTGGACGCTATCTTTTGAAAAAGCAGATCGTTTTTTCAATGCTCTTTGGCAGTGTGGATGCTCTCTTTTGGAAGAAGTTTTTTTTAGAAGATCTCTACTGAAAGAAGCCTGCAGTCTAGACATAGCTTACGTGTTCATGGCAATGTTAGGAATATATTTTTTCCAATACAATTTTACTGAGAAGCTTACGATAAAAACCTAAGTGCACATATGGCCAAGCCAAAAAAAAAATGCATTAAAGACTGGAAAAAGCTTAGAAAAAAAAAGAAATGCAATAAAGACTGGGAAAAGATCCAATCATTTTACACTTTTAAGCTAGGAAAATTTAAATTATGTAGTATAAACAATATAATACTAAACACTATAAAAATTAAACAAACTTCAACAAAGCCCACAGCTTTCCTATCACAATTCTCTAACAAATTAAAAAAATAAAAAAACATATATATATAATGCTTTCTCATAAAAAAGAAGAGGAGGGAGGAACACTCCCACCCCCACCTTCTCTGAAGTCAGAGTCTTATTCATGATCTTCACTCATCCCACTTAAGTGGCCACCCAACAGTTGCTTGCATTAAAATGGATGAATATTTTCTTTTTACAGATAGTTCTAAATATATATGGAGAGCAGTAGAGAGAGTAATTGTCATATAACAACAGAATTACTACGATATTTTTGCCTTGCTAGCGTTAAATGCATTTTAACTTATTAAGACTGCCAAAGAGGGAGTGATAATGGTTTTTAAAAATTAACTTATTTAAAAACAAAAGTCTCTCAAACCTGGGACAGCTTAATGGTCCTTGATCTCTCAGACTATTTTGTCACAACTGACAAAAGAGAACTATCTTGTATTAGCAGATCAGACAAAGACTTGAGCACATGCTTTAAGCACTGAGAGTTTCTTGTTGAACTCAATGAGATCATTTTTTTCATGCAGTTACAGGCTTCACAGTACTAGAATAGTCCCTCAAATCCATTTCCATGCATTTAATCCATATTAACTGGGATTGTGTCACTTTTGTGTTTATTTCTTCAAATGATTCATGTTTATTCCCACTGTTGATCAAAAAAGCACATTTCACAGACTCACATACAGGTGCTCACACCAAATAACACTTGATATAAAAAGGGAAAAGTTTCCCAGAACCTGACATAGAGTGAACCTAAATGTATAGGATGAAGCTTGATTGAA